ATATATATATATATATATGTACTTTTACAGTCAACAGTTGTATTGCTTTCAAAAATGAACTGCTTCATAATTTGATCAATTATATATTCATCTAACCATTACTTTATATCAATAAATTTGTGAAATAGTGAGGAAAGACGGTTAGCTACTACTTGTATTCAGAATAAGTTAAAAGGGCAGGAAATTTTAAGCAAATGTTAAAACATATTCTATATTGGACAAGCGGACAGAACATTTATAATACGTATAAATGAACATACGAAGTCATGACCGATTTACTTACAGAGAAACATGAATTTAATTCAAATTTCAAACTATTTTAAATATTGGGTGTAAAAGCTTTCTTTTATAAAGTCTAAAAGTATTATTAAACAACCAATTACTATTAAGCAACTCACTTTTACTAAAGTTTCGGCTAATTGCTGTATCCCTATTTTATACCTAGTAGATATAGCAAAGTTAAACAAGGAAAATCTGTAGTAATAAGAAATAGGGAGTTACTTAACTCATTTTATTCCTCAATTAGTGTATGATTATATTTAAATCAATTAATTTCTAACATTTCCGAATATGACAAATTTATAACTATTATTTTCTAAATTTAATTTATACATTCTTCATTAAATTTTTAATCTTATAAGCTGTCCTTCGAATAAAAAAAACGGATTTAAATGGTATGTAAATAAAGCTGTAGATGTTTTACCCTTAATCTAATTGTAGGTATAATCTATAACATCCCTAAANTATAAAAGGATAACGTATAGAAGTAATAAAGGATATTTCTCAATCAGCGAAACATGCGTCCTGAATATTAATCGGCAAAGATAGGGTTAAAGTGAAAATTACTCAAAATATATCATATAAAATCGTTCTTTCTCCTTGAAACAAAGAACAATGAAAATGCTACGATTTTAAGGATATCCATCTTCCTATTGATCATTATTCCCGTAGTTTGTATTAAATAAAAAGAATGAGTCACATTGATCTTTATGTGGCCTATTCATTAAAATATTAATTTCTATCTTACATTGAAGCCTAAGAAAACCAACAACGTGGGCGAAACTTCGGCTGTAGTTTTTTTAATAAATGTTCTTTTAACACCAATATTGCATTGACTTAAAAAACTCAATATCTGTTTTCCACTTCGTGAAAAACCAGTTTCTTTATTATCAAACTACGAAAATTTTTATTAAAATGTTAATATAAAATACATATTATTTTTCCAAAATTAAAAATAGCGGACGATGAGATAGATCAATTACTTAAAAAAGTCACTATTATTTTTTAAACTTATATAAGTCAGTCCTACAATCATGTACCTGTACTTTGCCGGTTATTTACTCTTTCATAACTGTTACGCAATCTTCTACCCCTATTTTCATTTCCGTTGCATTTTTAAATTTTACTCTTAACGCGCAAAAATGTGAATTTCAAAAATAAAATATTTTATATATATATATAGCTTACTTCCTCCACAATATTGTTGTAGACCACACTGAGAGCATCGAGTTGGAACAGCACTTCCACAGTGACATCCCCCATTTTTCTCACAACACGCACAATCGTTTGACGTGGTGTTAAAAGGGCATTGACAACCGCGTAAACTTTTTGTCCACAAATCGACCATTCCTGTAATAATAAATTTACGATTTTTTTAGAATTGATTAAAACGATCTTCACGGCTCTAAAATCCGACAGTGTTTCGTTGCTGCAGTCGCTGTTGCATTAAATTAATTGTTTCGCAATTTAGAGATTCTCGCCAACCATTTCGGCAAAACAGTCGATAAAAATTGAAACATAACTGACGTTTTGGAATTGAACGACCGAAATTGTTCAATAATGAAGCCAAATTGTTTGTCCATTTAAATAATCAGCATTTTTCAATTATTTAAACCCGTTCGTGTATCAAATAGAAAGTTCGTTATTATTTTGATATCTAATAGAAAATGCGTTATTTATTTATGTGTAAATAGTAGCAAATTGTACATATAAAGTGATATTTCCCCGATTCGCAATATGCACGTTGTATTTTATTAAAAAGCCGATGATTAATTGAAAGCTGCCTTTCCAATTGTTTTTCCTTCACGTAGTAAGGAATTGATTAACGGCTGAGTTTTGAATTGAAAGCTGTTTCATTTTTGTCACTTGACCTAAAAGTTCTTACATGAAAAGACTGTTATCTAAAGGAATGAATCGGGTTTAGGTTGCCATCTTTTTTAATAAGGCATTCATTGGAAAACTCGTTGCTATTGTTTTAACACTTCACGCTTGATCTATCAAGTTCAGAAAATGCTATACGCTTCATTTGCAATATGTTACATTTTTATAAGCGCCTAGGGTATTTTATTGAAGACGTTTTACAAACCTGCTACGTTACAAATTAAAAACAGAAAATAAAAGAATGACTAATAAATTTTCTTTTATTTGGATTTCTTTCTTTCCCTTAAAAAAAAAAATATAAAAAAATAATGAACATGAACAATTGGCATAAGATTTGCAGTGACCCCGTCCTTTTCTCTTTAAATGAAATTTTACTGAACCTGCCACGGTAGTCTACTCGAACTTAGTCAATATAAATCAATACATTCTTTACAATACATTGCAAATGTTATATCTTCCTATTATTTTTTAAACTTAAAAAATATCTCTTTGGCCTATACCAATTACGAGAACGTTTTATAATGTACCGGATTTTCTTTTCATTTCCTTCGGAGTATTGCGTGCATTTTAGAGTTTTCAGAGTCAATTGAAATCAAAAAGCATCACTGGAGGCTAATTTATAATCTTTTATCGATTATTTCGCGATCACCAGAGTTTCTTGTGTTTTCGGAATATTTGTCCTGTTTCCGGCCGATGCTCTCCTTTTTGTCTGCTTCTTAATTTCTCTTTATTTTTTTATTTTATTTCATAGGACTTGACATAGTGCCAACTAAAGGTGTAATACTGTCCAATTGCATTTTAAATACTGACTACTTGTATTTAAATTTAAACTTGTTCAATTTAAATACTGACTTTTTCGAACATCTTCGAAATCCTTTAATTTATCCAAAGCTTCCAGCAACCACCCTATGCTGTAATAAAAAATGAATTGTTTCTTTTTCGGGTATTAGGGATGACAAGCAATAGATGTTTTGTGATATAGTGGTAGGTTTTTATTTCTTAATCACTGGAAATCTGTACACAGATTTATTTCCTTTCTTTCCACCCTATAAGATTGATTTACTTTCTTAGCAGATGTTGAGTCTCGCTAGTATAAATACTCCATTGTCCGAAAGTGCTAATGCCCTTTTCTGCTTTCCCTTGTGAAGTTGATTTAGGAAGTAAGTAAGTCGAAACTGGAGTTGAGAAAATACACAAAGTAATACTGTATTCAAAATATTCTTTCGTAGCTTAACGTTTATAGAAATACGGTGGGTTGAGAATTTTCGTTGGAAAATGGAAGAATATGAAGCACTTCGTTANTATAGATCTATTATGTTCCCCTTATGCATTTATCAGTGGGTTGACCTATAAATTCTATGATCCCGTATGTAAACAGTGTAACTTTTTATTTCTATAATTTGGCATCTATGAAATCGCATATGCCTATATTAAGGAGTGGGGTCATCACACCTCTTTCTAGGTGTTCGGTAACGGCGTGGAGCGGTTGATTGTAGGAAATTCTCCTAAATCGGGATGTAATTAATTTGTTTTACAAGTAGTGATTGTGTCGTGTGTGTGTGTAATTACTTTCCATTTTTATTGTTTTTATTCGTAAACATAGTAATTCGTTTCTATCTATCGTAATTTAAACGTAATCGCATTTTGTCGTTCGACTGCCGCCGATTCTAGCCTGTCGGGTTGTTAGGATTCGGTAAGTTTTATCATTTTTATGTTTAATTTGAATATAGTCAGTGATTGACCAATATTCATTTGTTTTATTTTTGCATATACAAGGAGAAGAAACTATCCAGCAACATGTCTTTACATGATTCTACGTAATTTAATAACATTTCGTAGCTTTGCCGGCTGCCATGCTGTTTCTCTTGTATTACAGATTATTGACAACACCGGCAATGGAGCATTGAAATAAACAACATTTAAAAATTGAAAGTTACTCAATTTTTTAATATTATTTAAGGTAGACCAACCCAAAATAATGTTTTTTTATGGTTTTGATTGGTAATTATTACTTTCTTTTCGTTATATTTTGTTTAATTGCCTAGGTACTTGATCTAATTTTTGATAAAAATTGGATTAATTAATGTATTGATATATGCATTATAATTATAATGCTTTTGGTGGGTAAGTCGGTATGTATTAACTATGAACAGACAAAAAGCACTTGAAGCATCGTTGTGAATACATGCAGAGGCGGACTAAGGAGAATGCACACTGTTTATGAAATTTATGAGCCCTTAGGGAAATTGCAGAGATCCCGTTTGCTTATCTGAACGTAAGAATAATTATTCAGGAACGAATAGGGTTGTATGTAATAGCCACACTTTCTAAAGAAACTTATAAAATTTTCAAAACCACTAAGTGCTTGGTTGTCGGGTAGATTTGTTAGTCAACAACATAGTTTTTTAATTTTAATGTTTCGTTTAAATAAAATATGTAGGTATAAAAATGAATATGCTGCGAATAATTAATGTCTGATTACCACATCAAAAGTTTCATTAAATTCCAAATTAATATTTAAATTCATAATTAAATACAATTTTAATTACAAAATATAATTTATTTGACCACAGTGCGGTGAAATAAATGATCATCGAAAGCATATTACAGCAAATATACCTATTTTTCCTTGTGTATTTTACAGATGATTGATATACCTAATAGAATTTGTTGTTTGTAAAACATTTTAATTTCTTTTTTATAATGGACAGGTAAATTAAAAGAGAAAGAAAACAAATGATAGGGAAATTTGATACCTACGACGAAACAATTTTACATTTTTTGGACTCTCCGCTTTACATGTTTTCCTTTATCAAGTTAATTTAATATATTAGAACAAAGATAGAAGAAGTTACTTTCCAGTACCTTTTCGCTGACATTTTGGATTTTTAGTGGATAGAATGGATAGTCTATAGGGAATTTCTCCATCACATTCTATCTTTAAGGGTGGACCTATAGTAACCGACTTCCAACTATAAAAGTTGTTTAAAAAAAAATGAACAGAAAGAAATTTTGAGTCACTTGATGCTAGGGAAGTTTAAGCTTCCTCCTGTGTTTAAACCTTTCTTACCGAAACCTATTCATTTTTTAGTGGTTTACTCTTTGTTTCGTATGTATGCATATTTATGTAAAAATTTTAAATATCTATATAACCCCTTTGAAATTAGCATGGTAAAAATATATACTAATGGATAATTATTCGCAAATTAGCCGTGAAAGCCAAAAATTTTCCGCAACCCGGAAAATCCTAAAAAAAAAAATAAAATCGGTTAGAACCTGTTTCATAATTAACCGCTAACTATGTAAACTACTAACTAGGGGTTCAAATTTATTTTTCCATATTAACGATTCGACATACACTACATTGAGTGAAATTATAGTCAAACACTCTAAGAGGGACATGAAGGATGTTTTGAATATTTGCTCAAATATGCCGTGAAAACCAAAAATTAGTCGCTACCCGCTACCCGGGAAACCCGAAAACTAGTTTGGATGATAGCTACAAATGAACTCATTTTTTGATATTGACATGATAATCGCGGCTAATAATCCCTCCTTAATATAATAGTTTGTCGAGTCCTCAAGATGGAAGAAAGACACTATTTTGAAAAATAAAATTAGAACCCTTCGGTTAATAGTCTACATCATCAGCGGTTAATTAGCTACTAATTATGAGACCAGTTCTAGCTGCCTAAGTTTTTCCTAACCGACTTTACAGCTTGAAATGAAGTTAACATGGAAACTGGTTTTCGGGTTTCCCGGGTCGCAGCTAATTTGCGGCTAATTATCCAGTGGTTTATATTTTTGCCTGCTAATTCTCAAAGGGAGGTCTATACATACCTTCGGTGAAATGTATAGGTGAGTAATAGCGACCTTCATCCTCGACTTTGGCTTCACGAAGAAGGATAATTGGTAGGAGACATATACAAACATGGATTATTGTTCTGAGCATTGGTCGACCCGTCAATTTTGCTTTTTATCCCTTTCTCTCGGCGTTTCTTCTCTTTCTTTCTTTCTTTCTGTATCACACTCGCGCTACTTGAACCTTCTTCTGTTCATTGTGCATTCTTAGGAAGTATCAATGTTGCATAAAAGTGGTAGTTGCTCAGAATTCATAAAGGACTCCGTCCTCTCCCCCCGAAAGTCCATAAAGCGATTTAGTTCTCCCTTTTCTTCTGCGTCTAATCCTTTAAGCGCATCAACTGAAACAAAAAGAAAAGAAATGTTTATCCGTTTTATGCTTCATTTCGCAAAGAAACGTTTATAATACCACAACCACTTCTAACGAATAAACACGGCTCCGAGTCGCTTATATTAACGTCTGTAAAGCAACCATCCCTTGCAAACAAACATCTCTGACTCTTTCGAACTCGTCTTTTACATTCACGTAATTTTTCATCAACTCTGTATTTTCGATTACATTTATTCCAAATTGCTGTACAGTTTTCTATTCTCTATTATTTAGTAATATCCACTAATCAAACGGAAAGTTACGTCATTCAATAAATTATACCTACCAGCAATAAGAAAATATTCCAGGAATTGCAACAACTGACTAATTAAGCGAATTTTCTATCATATCAATTGATATGTAAGTAAGTTTCTGTTTCATCATCATTATCTTCGCGTTTCCCCAAAATTGGATCATCCAACATCCCTAACTATTTATAAAGACTAATCTAACCTAGGTCTACCTCAATTCCTCTTAACTCCTGTTTCTGATTCTAATATGTCTTTAACTAGCCCCTCATACCTGAGAAGGTGTCCTACCAACCTATCTCGCCTAATATTGGCTTCCATAGCGTCCTTTATAGCAAAGAAAATGCGATCTAACTGATTAATTAAATGAGAGGATATTAAAAAGAATAGAACAGAGGGCGTTATGGAAACCGGTACGAAATAGGCAAAATTAGTAGGTAGGAAGCTTACACAAACTTGAAGAAGGACTAGTTAGAGACATATTAGAAGCAAAAACAGGAGTTTAGAGGGACAGAAGTATACCTATGTTAGAAGATTACTGTATGGAAATAATTAGAGATGTATGTTGCTCTAGTTTTTTAGAAATGCGAAGATTGGCTCAAAGTAGAGAGTGGTGCGTGTCCAACCAGTCGTCAGACTGAAGGTCTTATAATAGGTTTAATTGTTCATTGAAAGTCCTTACTGAAGAATGCAACATTAAAGACCATATCTCAAAAAGATGAGTCGAAAACTATCAGAATCCAAAGATTAGGTCCATTTTCCGTGAGGATCTAACAAGGTCCTTTGAAGAATATTGCTAGTATAGTGAGATTTCTTGCCATTGCAAACAAAATTATCATTAAACTCACAATAATTGTCGTCCCATTCGTGTGCCAAAAGGTATTGAAGTGGAAGGAGAGTATACTCTATCCAGTGACGTGTTCCTTCTCGCTTTTATTATATTATAAACCTCTACACACCGAAAAATAATTTAGTATCAACCAGAAAATTGCAGTGATGTTATTGATAATTTTATTGGCAATGATAAGATACCTTACTAGACCTGTAATGTTTTTCAAGCAGTGATTTATTTTATGGTTTGACAGCTCGAGGATAGAAAACATAATTTTATAACATGTAGGATGTGGTTATTCATATTGGTAATAGTTCTTCCAGAAGTACTCAAAAAGCTCTAAATTATATCATACATACTTTTAGGAACAATTTTGGCGTAGGTGTTCTACCTCGGCCTAAGTTTCATATAAAGAATAAAGTACCAAATAAGCTCAAAAAAAGTACGAAATTCTAATGTAAATCGTTGTGCGATTCTGAGTTGCAGATATGCTAGCTTGATAGGCATCTTATAATGGTAATATCAGAAGCAGGTATCGATCAGCTGTTTCTGTATCTGTTGTATCTGCTGTAATGTGTCGTGTGTTTTATAACACTTATAGGGTAACACCGTCTGCACTAGAATAAGTGGATTGTTTCTACAATAGAGCGAATTGAATTAATTCAGATCTCATTATTAAGTTCATTGTGTTTTCGTTCAGTTATCGAACAAGATCTTGCGGATATAACTATCCACTTGTGTCAGCGGTCTTGTTATTGTTCGGGGGTTGGTTGAAAAGGGTGGTTATGGGATGAGGTTTCTCTCGTAAAGGAATGGTATAAAAGTCGAGGTGTGGAAGCGAAATTTAAAGAAACGAGCTGAAAAATGAGCGCAGAAAGACTAAGGAGGCCGCTCGAGGGGATTTGTGACGGATTTGCGTGAGGACCTGGGCGGTAAAAAAATGAAAATCGGCAAGAGAGCAAAGCCGATAATGCAATTTAAACTGTTCGTTTTCGAATGTCAATATTTCAAAATTTCTTCAATAAAGACGGGAACTGTTTTAAATTAATATAAGGGAAATTATTTCTCGGAATTGAAGATTCACTTTTCATTACATTTTTTATTAAGATTTCATACAGATCTACAGCAGTTGGTGTTTTATTCTGAGAAGAAAATAAACATGACATTAAAAAAGGTTTTTGGGAATTTTTGTCTTTTCGTATACAAAATAAATTCATACATTTCAATGCGATGTTCACTAAAATATTAGCTTGACATTTAGCATTATAATAGAATGCATTGTATTAGAATTGCAACAGTTATTAATGATACTAATTATGTTGAAACTTATGCAATAATCTTGTTCGTAATTTATCCATTGCTACCTAATTGATATTGTTTCGATAAATCGGCGGCGATACGTCATTCGGACACGAATGAGTTTTAATAACTCCTCTTTGCAAATTAAGGACAGATATGTTTGGAATTTTGTACATCCGATTTCGAATAATTCGAGTATCAATTTTGGCTTTCAAAGCATTTGATTGCAAATTAAACCGAGCCGATACAATCAAAAGTATTACTATACTCTCTAATCTGGTGCATTTTAGGACTAAAATGTAGTTTACTTTTGAAATTTCCTATCAATAATTGCCATTCTTTGTTAAATAAACAACAAATACAGAAATTTTAGTACAAAATAATTGTTTCGCTACAACAGTAGCTTCATCGGGCGTAGAAGTATAAAAGCAAGACAAAACTTAACAAAAACAAATATAAATTGAAATAAAAATTCAGTAAAATGTATAGCGAAAAAGGATTAAAGTTATCAGTTAGTTATATTGGCAAAGATAAGTGAAGATCTATCTAACTATAAAATTTATTTCTCTTTTCAATTGTTTAATTGTGAGTGAATAATTATTGTCCTTTTTTACGTATCTATAAAATTTTACCATAAGGTGAGGGTGAATTTGGCATGATTATATAAAGCAATAAAGAAAGTTATCACGCCTTGAATTCGCTTGATTTTCTTCAAGGAAGAATTACGAATTATATTTGTTTTTGTTACGTTTTGCCACACTCATATATACTTCTTGTCCCACTGCCATACTAATGTATTTGTTTGTATATAACCCCGTCCACTAGTTGTACTATTATTCGACTGATGAAGATATTGTGGTAGCGAAACAATAGTTGTGGATTAAAAATTGTACGGAGGTCGTTGTTGGTCTTACTACTGCTGTGAATCCTAAATTTCACAAATAAAAGCTAATTCTATTTCATAAATAAACTACGGTATATGTTTCGAAGAAGCCACAGTGTGTTGGCGAAACAATTGACAAAAAACAATCTGATGAGATTATTTACAACTATTAAATGTTCGGTATAAATAAATAAATTTGAGCAAAAAGTTATATATCGTAAAGTGATACAGTAAATAGGGTGAAGGTTAATGTTTCGTACAGGCATGTAGGTCACTTGTTATAGGTAGTATGACTTTTTGAAGTTTTTTCTTTGTTTTAAAAGCATTTACATTTAGTGCTGTTTCTGTATTCGCAATATGTATGGAAGATTATGAGAAGTAAACTAAGAAGTGGTAGAAAAAGTAATAATGAAGAGGGATAAAAGCAGCTGTCCTTAAGGATAGGTCTCAGAGGCGCCAACTTCCAATTTCGTGACGATAATAAAATATAACTTCAAGGAAAGTAATATATGAAATCTCCTTTAGCCAGCAGCTACCAAACCAATTTCATAATTTAGACTTTAGCCGTCATGTAAGTCGATACACATGTCCGCTATAAAAATCGAGTTCGTGAAAAAATTTTATTGCGATATACACGGGTATTTTTTTTGTGTAAACAACATTTTGACTATCTTCTTTTTCCTTGGTAATGTTGACTTTCCCGGAAATCCTGAAGTTTGACTAATACAGTAAGGAGAAAAAATTCGAACGTCGGATACGTTTTGAAAACCATAAAAATCGAAGGAATGTTTGGTTTTTATATACTCTAAAGGTTATGTATATCACGCTAACAGATCACATATTCAACCCCTGCATTGATATGTTGGCTTGACATCATGCCAATGGTATAAGTAGGTATCTGTATTCATTGTAGCAAATTTATGGTGAAATATTCGTTTGTCTATCTTATGCTCTAATTGGCAACATATTTTGTACTTAAAGAACTTAATTTTGTAGAATCTAAATTGATTCTAGGAAGTCTGACGAAACTACAAAAAAACACCCTAAACTTTTATGCTGCCTTTTAGTTGAAGTTTGATGTTAGGGTTGGCAAAACCCCTATTTTAAAAAACGAATAAAGGTAGAGGTTTAATAATTTGCTCAAAATTGTTTCTAACCCTGTAAGACCCTTTATAAAAGCGTTTTAAAGCCTTTTATTGTGTTATTTAACTTTGAGGTATAAAATCGTTTACTTTGACTAGACCATCGGGCTATTGTTATATCGTTCCCGTTGTTTACATTTTCTTGGGCAGTAGATGTTTCCGTATAATATTATCTTAGTAGCATGCAAATATGCTCAAAAAGACGACGGAAGGTACTTATACTCGGGAAAATCCCTAAAACCCAACTTATTCAAATGCAGATTTAAGTACCTACATAGGTACCTACATAAAGTTACGATAATACATCAGCAACAACATACAGAATACTTTCAGCTATCCATAGTTTATGCCGTCGTTCGTAAAGTTACAAAACATTTTTTTTTTTTTTAATAGAATAAAAAAGTATCTATTCCATCGAACTTGTTAGATAAATATTTTCAGAAACCAAACAAACTTTAGTACCTGCTCTTCAGTCAGGATCTAAAATTCATAGAAATTTCTTTACCTTTTATTAAATATTAAAGTTGATCTTAGGAAGCAAAATAAGATAATAGACAATTATTTATC